GCGCCCCTCTCATCCGATGTGTAGCCGACTATAAAACAGACTACATTATAAAGGAGATACATGAAGGGATCTGCGGTAATCCCAACATTGCATGATCCCTCACCAATAAAATTGTCCACAAGGATATTATTGGCCTCTACTTCCGGAAGACACTTTCAACTTTGTGAAAAAGTGTGACAAGTACCAACGGTTCGCGAATATCTCACGAGATGACAATGACTAGCCCTTGGCCATTCTCTATGTAGGGAATTAATCTCATCGGGCCCATGCCAACTGGAAAGGGGGAAGTTAAGTATGCTATGGTCGTGGTAGATTACTTCATTAAGTGGGTTTGGGTTGAGGCCGAGCCTTTGGTCGCAATCACTAACAAGAAACTCAAAGACTTTGTCTTCAAGAATATAGTGTGCCACTACGAGATTCCTCATACACTTATCTCTGATAATGGGTAGCAAATCGACAATAAGGAATTCAAATAGTTTAGCGATGAGTTGGGGATCCATAAAAGGTTCGCCTCAATTGCAAGACTGCAAGCCAATGGTCAGGTCGAAGCTGTCAACAAGACCATCAAGCACACACTAAAGGTCGGGCTTGGCACTGCCAAGGGCAATTGGGCCAATGACCTCCCAGAAGTTATATGGGCTTATAGAACAACTCCGAGAACCTCTACTTCGAAAACGTCCTTCTCGCTAGCATATGGCTACGAGGCTATGATTCTAGTGGAAGTAGGGACTGGTTCACTCAAGAGAGACCTATTCAATGAAACAGACAATGAAACACTTCTACGTGCAAGTCTAGACCTACTTGAAGAACACCATGACATGGCTCAGTTAAGGATAGCATCTTACCAACAGTGTACGAAAAGGTTCTTTGAATTTAAGGTCAGGAGAAGAGACTTTTAGATCGGTGACTTGGTTCTAAAAAAAGTCCTTCTCAGTACAAGGGAACCAAGTGTGGGGGTATTGGGACCTAACTGGGAGGGTCCATACCGCATTGCTAAGGTAATATGACCTGGAATGTATCACCCCAAGAGGCTTAATGGTTCTGAAGTACCACGAGCTTGGAATGCTGAGCATTTTTGCCCATATTACCAGTAATTCCGAACTCGCTCTTAATTTTATTCATTTCTTTTGCTTGTAAAGTTTTGCTTGTAATCTTTATGAATAAGATCGTTCTGCTTTATCTTGAAGCAATATTTGTGTCATGTTCTTTTGAATGATCTTGTTCATTACAATATTTTTACAAGTTTCCTGATCAGATGTATAATATTAGTCTTGTGAAGTGCTCGAATTATAGAAGTGCTATCACAAATGGCCGAAAATACTCCTTGTATATATATGTCAAAATAAGTACAATGGGCAGCAGAAAGATAAAAAGAAAAAGAGGAAGAGTTAAAAGGTAAGTTGTGCAAAAACAGAAGAGGCGATCACTGGTCCCCGCCTCTAGGCTCTGCGAGCGCGACCTCCATATCCGTCAGTTGGTCACCAACCATCCAATCAACTATTGGGTCCTCAGGGACGTATGCCTCTAGCTGGTCATCCTCTGAATGAGGCTTTTGTCCCTCTTCCTCCTCGGCATCATCAGCTTGGACCATGGAAGCAAGGATGTCCTGATATTCATTCGGAAGGTTAGTGAGGTCCATCCTTGGATTCCTTAGTTGCAAGCTGTAGATGGCCTGTATTGCCCAGTCAACGACTTTCCTCTTGAGTTCAAGATTTTTCTAGTTCATCTGCTCAATTAATGAAGCGACTCACCCTTGGAACAGCTTTAGATCCACCTCTAGAGCCCTCTTCTACTTCTCAGAGTTTTCCCATAGTTGAGCTCTATCTTCTTCTACCTTCATGGCACGCTCAGAGTTCGCCTTCAACTCCTTCTCTTTCTCGTCATACTCTTTGGTGTGTCTGACCGCTGTCCTTTGGAGCTCCTTGTTCTCCTCCCCTCTCTTCTCAAGCTCGGCCTTCTGGAATTCCATTGTGCGAAGGGCATAATTTCTCTCTACCAAGTACTGATTCGTCTGAATGTAGACCACTTTCACCTTTGCATCCAGAGCTGCGAAGTCCTATTTTAGCTTGGTATTCTCTTCCCTCGGCTTGTGGAACCCTCCAGTAGAGTCCAGGTCGATCTTTTGTTAGGCCATATGCAAGGCAAGCAAGGACTGTATGAGAAAAGAAACAAGAGTTGGCCTCCCTTTTCCCAAAAATCATAAAAGTTAGAAAGTCAATTGATATTAGAAAGTCCTCGACAAGAACGAGCTATTTTACCCAACTTTGCAATTGATGAGTAGTAGCCACCAAGTCCGTGGGTCGGGAAGACAAGAACTCCTTGAAGATTGCAGCCAGTTGGCACTCCAACAAGGTATACACCACCGGCTGTAGGTCCTTCAGGAGTTGCCCCATGGAATCTAACAAATGCGTGTCTGACCCCAGAAAAACTGGCACCTCGTCAACCCGTTATTTACCCATTCTCCTTTGGGCATGCGACCTCCCCCTCTCCTCTGCGCGAGCTCTCGAGCACCGTCAAAGTGCCAAGCACACTTCTCGGGGGCACCCCCGAGCGAAAAGCCTGGTAAGGCTGCAATCCCCTCGACGGTATCCCCAAGCCCTCTGGCTCAGACTCTGATTCCTCCTCGGCAAGTAGCTACTTCCTCTTCTTGGTTTTCTACTTAGTGACATGAGTAGCCACGAGCCGAGAAGCTTTTCCACGTCGCTCTGTGGGTGTTCGCCTTTCGGCGCCAATTTGTATCCCTCATGTAGGGATATCATCGGGGATCACCTTGGTTGGCTCGATCGGGTTGACCCGAGGAAACACGAACCTCCTAGTCCTTGTTGATGGCCTTGAAACCTTGGGTGGCATGGTCACTATGTGCCATGAAAGCATGTTAGTGAAAAGGTCACCTCAAGCAAAAGAAAGAGGGTCTAAGTGTGAAGATACTTAAGGGCTAAGGGTTCCTAAGATGCTTTCAGATTGAAAAAATCGTACTATCTTAAGTTCGCAGTAGTCACAAACAGTCTCCCATTGCGACTCTGCTCAGATAGATGACTGAATGTCACAATTCTGTTAAAGTCTATCAGAGCCATCAATCTAGTCGCCTTATTTCCTACAAAGAAACAAAAAGTTCGTTAAATATAAGAGCTGAAGAAAAAAGGGACAGTTCGTAAATCGAAGGAAAAGAAAACCTACTCCGCTCATTAAATTGGCAAATGCCATCATATTCAAAAAAGAAAAATTTGGTCTCATAAGCCCTGACATTACTAGGGTAACCAAATATTCCTCCCTCGATCATAGATCACTTCGAGAGAAAAAAAGAGTCTTTATCTTTACTCTTCTTTAGATAGTAAGCGCATGCGAGCTCCAGCGCTGTCAGCTCTCCAAGACCATTTTCGCCACATGCAATATACACAGCAACCGCTATCATATATTCATTAGGTGTCAATTGCAGTGGCGCGACCTCGAAGTGGTCGAGGATCGATCTATCGTAGAGGTGAAAAGGTATCAATGCCCCACACTTAAAGATCGCCTTGGAGATCGTGGCCATTCCCTCTGGGGGATTCTGAGCTGTGTACATCCTATGATGTTAGACATCCATGCTAAGCATGAACTGGTCCACCACTTTCTATATCTCATCCCGGGTGGCCACTGATAATGCTTCTTGCACGAGACCTGCTGAGGTGTTTGGCACCTATGAGCTCGTCCCCTCGGCTGCTTTGGTCACTGAAGTATCCATTGCTCCTAAAATCTAAAAAAGGGGCGACATGCAGAGATAACTCAGTCTCTGTACAGTGTTTCGTAGGATGACAGGGAAGAGCAAAAGAAACCCTAGTTTACCTTCCTTAACCCCTAGAAAAACCCTAAAAACCCTTGGGAATGAATTCCCAAGAATCCATGCCCTAAGTTCTCACTTTTTACAAAGAAAAAAGTTCTCTTCTTACCACTGTCCAGAAATATGCACCATGTAAGCTAACCAAGCAGTTCACACCCACCATTACGTAAAATAAAGCTTTTAAAAAAAAATAATATAAGAAAACGAAGTAGAAGCCCTCCTTACCTCTTAACTGCTAGAACGAACTTCCTGTTGTAACGAATAGTGTGTATCAACTAGAAGAAGAACAGACTGATTTCGCGAGTGCAAGAGTTTTGTTTTTCTCTCTGAAAATGTGAGTTCTATGATAAAACTTGAGGTGAACCTAGGGTTTTATAGGGGGAAAGACAATGATTGGTTTCCCTAAGCAAGCGATGCTTGGGCGGGATACGTTTCTCGCTATTGATTACAACCACGTGTCATTAAACTACAAGAAGAGTAACCTTCACACTTCGTGGATGCCAATCAACGTTTACCTCTATTAGAGCAACCAAGCGTCGGCATGGTTACCTCCTTAACATTAAATGTGCCCTCATCCGCATTTAATGCTCTGAAAGGGAATATCATTTCAGCATGGCTTACATTTAATGGGCATACTGGCATTTATTGCGCAATAGACATATCTGTCAGAACAAAGTTATTTTATTGACTAGACTAGTTGTCAAGCATAACGGATAACATCTGAAAAGGTCATTCGAGTAAAAAGCTCTTTGTCATGTATTGATTTCGAAACGATGAGATTCCTAATTTTTGGTAAAAATGTGCTAAGTATTTTCAGGTCGCGAGTGACGGATGAAATTCATAAAGCATGTTAGTATAGCACTGAGTAGGGTCCGACCCACGTCACTGAATTTGTGGGAGAAGACCGCCTTAGGTCATTTGTGCTATTCTTAAAGACCTATGTTGTGGCCTCCTTACAGCTCGATGGTCGTGTTGAACCACTAGTTTCACATTATCTTAACTGCTTGTCTCATACAGCTCGATCAGACGTCACTCGGGATAAGTCAAGTCATGGCATAATCATGAAGTTCTCAAGGTTCAATCCTTAAACCTTAAAAACTTGGGCGCGGTGGGGAGGGGGGTAGGGTTGGGGTGGTGGGGGCTGCTTCTGTTATACCTAAAAAATCAAGGTTGAAGTAAGCTTATGCCAACAAGGCCAATCAGAGTTTATGAAGGCTTTGTGCCATCTAGACGCGGCCATGTTGCACAAGTACGGAAGAGGTAAGGTTGTCGTCATTGTGGCAGGTGAATGCCAGGCTTGTGAGTGGCTAGGAATTGTCCACCTACCCAAGCCCTATGTGATTTAAGAGGGGGAGGGGGGGGGGGGGGGGGGGTTGCTGCTTCTGTTATGCCTAAAAAATCAAGGCTGATGTAAGCTCATGCCAGCAAGGGCCAATCAAAGTTTAGGAAGGCTTTGTGCCATCTAGACGCGGCCACATTGTGCAAGGACGGAAGAGGTAAGGTTGTCTTCACTGTGGCAGGTGAATGCCAGGCTTGTGAGTGGCTAGTAATTGTCTACCTGCCCAAACCCTATGTGATTTAAGGATGTCTCCCGTGCAAACATCCAATGGGAAGCAGGTTAGGAATTATACCACACCTGTCTGACTACAGAATCATGATTACTACCTTGAATCCCCCAACTATAAATAGAGGGCTCCTCACTCATTTACGAGATTGACTCATCTTTAGTCTTCAAAAGCATACTCTCTCTCTCTCTCTCTCTCTCTCTCTCTCTCTCTCTCTCTCTCTCTCTTCATAAATATATTTCAATTCCCTCAAGATTGTAATTCAGCTCGTTGAACGCGACCTGACTGTAACCATCTATTAATACAACCATAGTGGACGTAGGATTTGCTTTTGGGCATCAGAACCACTTTAAAAACCACTTCTCCTTTATTCTCTCATTGCATATTTCCATATCACGTGTAATTTCTAAGTCCGCTTAGCACTTTGCATGTGTGAATCGTTGGTGTCAAAATCAAACATTAACACTAATAATGGTGAAGATAATGATGGTAGATACAACAACAACTATGTCTATCAGAACCCTCCCGAGCCAATACCAAATAAGCTATTGAGGGGAAGGAGACCATTTAATAATCATAATCCGTCTCAATACTCTTCTCACACTCATTTCAAAAACTGATGAAAATGCAAAATGTCATATTTACCCCCCTTAATGTATAGTCTTTTATACTTATTTGCTGCCTAAATGTACTCATGCAAATGGAGGCGTTAATTGCAAAACGGAACTAATTAAGTGAATTTGGACAGTTTCGACATTGTTTTGTAATCTGGGCATAACTCTCTCATCGGAGCTCCGATTGAGATGATTCAAAATGCTGTAGAACCATAAGAAACAGATCTACAACTTTCATGTTTTGAGTTTGGAGATATACTCGCTGCATAAAGGTTGGAATTGGGCTTCAAATTGATGCACCTGCATTGCCGACATTCTGGAACATTCGGCCTTGCCATGCTATTCAAATAGGCAGATTATTACAAGAAGATTTCAGGACCTGTTGCATGCAAGTTACAGCTGGACACGCCACCTTCCTATTTTTATTTTAGGATGTTATCTTATTTTCAATTAATTAGAATCTGATTAGGATTAATGTTATTTTGGGATATTAGAATATCTTTTAGGAGATTTAGTGGGATTAAAATACTTGAACTGGATTTTTGTAAAGGAAGTTGATCAGATTAGGGTTTGACATAGACCACACCTCTCTTTTCCTCTCTTCTGCAATTTTCCTTTGTATTTTCGTGATGGCCATGAGTGGCTGATTTTTTATAACTTCGTTGAAGGAAACGGAGGCCTCAGAATCAATAAACTGTGAGATCTAATCTATTTTTTTTAGTGTTCAATTTTAGTGTTTGAGTATTGGATGTTCTTCTATGCTTATTGTCATGATTGTTGCATTTAATTACTAGGAGGCCTACTAGTTTATTAATTGTTGCAATCTACTGCTAAGTTAGATATCAAATCCGTAATTGTTTGATTCCTCTAACTTGTGAAGCAATTAGGGTTAATAATTTGCTGCGTCAGGAATTAGTAATCTTAAGAAGAACACCCAACTAAATTAAATACAACCGCTTGAGTTTGTGTTGATTAGCTTCATCGATCTCTCTAATTCTTAAGGCTACCACTAGATTAAATCTTGAGCGCTTGTCTAGGGTTGTTTAGTGGTAAGATTAATTAAGATCGTTTGTTTCCTAATTAATTACAATTAAGGAGAGATAGGAAAATAGTTCCAACGGTGAATATTCAAAGTAAGAATTGATTTATTTTTTGCATCAATGATCAGTTGTAAGATTCCAATGGTGGATGTTTACGGAGACCAAGTTTCGTTATTTTGATTGACTTAGATTTGAATTGCTTTTGTTTTTTTTTTTTCCTGAGATTGTTTCTGTCTTACTAAAACCCCCCCTCAGCCTTGTTCACATAACATAAAATTCGGCTAGACACTCTCCATGGGAATTACCCTGACCCACACTACTACATGTGTTTTTAGGTTTTAATCTTGGTTGCCCACGATAGCACGCCAATAACACTAACAAAGCTCGCCCTCAACCATCCGAGGTTGCCGATGATGTTCAATCAAACGAGAATTTCCTAGAAAAATTCAAACTGTCTGTGGAGAAGAAGGCAAAAAAGCCCTCACAAAATGATGCACCAACAGCAACACAACACAAGATTGATCCTCCCCAAGACGCGAACGAGATCTTCAAGAAAATGAAGGAAACGGGTCTCTTTCCAGATGCTGTTACTATGCACGATGGACTCTGCAAAGACGGTCTTGTTCAAGAAGCAATGAAACTTTATGGTTTGTTGCACGAAACAGGTACCATTCCTAAAGTTGTTATTTACACTGCTGATGTTGATTGCTGTTGCAAGGCTCATAAATCAGATGATGCAAAGAGGATTTTTAGGAAAATGCAGACCGATGGCATCTCTCCAAATGGCTTTAGTTTTGGTGTGTTAATTCAAGGTTTATGTAATGCTAACGAGTTAGAAGATGCTATTGACTATTGTATTGAAGTGTTAGAAGCTGGTCATTCTCCGAATGTTACAACTTTTTTTGGATTAGTTGACGGTTTGTGCAGGGAGAAAGGTGTTGAAGAAGCTCAGAGTGCTATTGCAACATTGAGACAGAAGGGATTTCTTGTTAATGATAAAGCTGTTATAGAATACTTGAACAAAAAAGCTCCTTTTTCATCATCAGTTTGGGAAGTAATCTTTGGGAAGAAATCGTCTGAGAAACCATTTTAATTTTTTTCTTTTTCTTATATATTCTATTAATCTGAACAAGTTTAAGTTCCGTGCCTTTTCTTGAGTGCATGTGAAACCAGTATCAAAAGTATCCTGAATTTTAGTGTAATATCCAACATCGCTTTGAAAGTGTTGTGGCAGTCAGCAGAACTACAGAGTTATAGTTGGAATCTAAAGAAACAAAAATAAATTTGAAATTTGAGGGTGCACTTGTTCATTATTATATACTTTTTAGAATAATATTTTGAAAAAGGTAAAATTGGGTGGTTATTACGATGTAGGATTTGAAAATTAACAAAAATACCCCCTAGATTTGTTTATTTACTAAACACCCCTATAATAAAATATTGAAAATTAACAAAAAATCCTCACCCACCCATTAAATACCAATAGTCGGCCACCATCGTCGGAGGGTGGCCAGAGTCACCATATCGACACACGACCGACTGGCCAGATCTACTGGCATTTGGTCGTCAACGACGGCCATATCTTGGATGTCGTTTACGACTGACCACAGCCAAAGATGATGGCTAGATCATTGGCTGTAGATCTGGCTTTTTTCGACTAGATCCACTGTGAATCTGGCCAGAAAAGACTAGATCGATGCACTACCGGCCAGATCCAACCGGTAGTGCACCATTATACTAGATTGTGACCAGTTTCTGGCAATGGTGGCTGGAATCTGGCAAATGTGAGTTACTAGGTGTTTTTATCAATTTCAAAAAAAGAAATTTTGGGGGTGTTTAGTTAAATTAACAAATCTAGGGGGTTTAAAAAGCATTAAATACAAATCTAGGGAGTTTAAAAAGCATTAAATACAAATCTAGGGAGTTTAAAAAGAATTGAATAATATTTTGAGAATAAGGAAATAAGCCTGGTATTTAGGATAGTATTTGGGATAGAATAGGGAATAAAGTAGTGAAAAATTGTGTACCAAAGGGCCTTGAAATCTTTAAAAAAAAAACAAAAAAAAAAAAAAAAAAAAAAAAAAAAAAAAAGAAGCATGTAATAAAAAAGCATGAAAGGTCCAAAGGGCCTGAAGATAACAGAGTTTTAAAAATGCTGTGCACACTTGCCCAAGAAATAAAAAGATCACATATGGGCCACTAAATGGGCCCAATCACGCTCATACACTATGGTTAAGGCCGAATATAAATCTCACCAGAGGGATGACGGCCCAACAGCCAATAGTGGGCAACCATTCATGCGGAGCAACCACGTTTTATATCTAAGTGAAGTGAGCCGCTTCTCATAATCATAAGAGTCACTAAAGTCCAACTATCTGGAAAAATGAAGAAATATTGAAGAAAGAGAAAATGCAATAATAAGTGAAGTGCCGTTGTGAGTAATTAATGGCATTGGAAATGTATATAATGTTCAATGTTGGACCAAACGAGTCCCACAGTCGTTATCCGATGGGGTCCGACTATTGTAGACCACTTAATTTAAGTTTGAGTGGAGTTTTGTTTACTTATGCATTCATAATTATAAGTCTCCCTTTCTCACCAACATTATATATTGTTATAGTTCTGATGTCAATTCCCACACCATGCAACTCTGCCTCGCCTGCATATTGTTCTTTTATTAAGATTTTTATTTTATTTTTCTTTTACAAGATTGTATATAAAATTAGGGTCTCATGATTTAAGAATAATGATTCTAAGTAATATATCTAAATTTATGGTATTTACTTTTATGATAATTTTTAATATTTTTATTAAATTTATAGAAAAAATAATTTAAAAGAGAGATTCTAATAATTAAATATATGTACTATTATTTTTTGAATTTCACAAAATAATAAAATATGCCCCAAAAATAAATTAGGTTAGATTATTACAAAACCAATTAGAATTTACACAATTGTTTAACATTAACGACCTACCAAATTACACAAATTCAATTATCTTTCTAATTAATTAATTAATCAATTAATTATAATGTTAAACTTAATCAATGTTGGGAACTTGAGACAATGAGATTTGTCCCTTTCACAAATGGACTAATTTTATCAGTTATAATGGAGATAGTGTCTTATAAATTAGTTACGGTTCTTACTAACTAGTTTACAACATGACATGGCATATGATGTGGCATATGATGTGGCAATGTCACCTCATCTATCACGTCAGTCACTTGCCATGTCAGATAAGTAAAAAAAAAAAAAAAAATCAAATGTAAAATCCCATTTTAGCAAACGAAATTTTGCCTACCCTAATCCCAAAAAACAAATTACTTATTTGGAGGATGTCTTCTGATAATTTTTTTTCTTGCTTTTATCTTATACAACACATGTTTGTTTGAGAGGCATGCAATTGGTGACCAGAGTTTGTCATTGATCCTCTCTGCTCCGCTTTTCTTGGTTATTGGTATGATCTTTAGAGGAAATTATGAGGATGGATGACATATACATAATTGGACCAGCTCTTGATGAGTTGAAGTGGCCTATTTTGATTTACTGGTGTGAGGTGTGAGGTTGTTGCTGAGCTGTCCTCTACAGAGCACTGCCTGTTGTGCTTGTTCTGCAGGAGCTGTTCTTGAATTATGCTGGTTCTTGGTTGTTGTTTCTTCTGGCTTATGGAATTGAGTTAGGCTCGGTTGAGGGCAAGTGTCCAGCGGTGAAGGTTGTATCTGGCAGTTTGATCTTCTTCTAGTTTGGGGGCCCTCCTTTGCATAGAAAGTCTTGCTTCTGTTGCACAGTTTTTTTTTTTTTTTTTTTTTTTTTTTTTTTTTTTTTTGTTCTTTTAAGAAGTCTGGATAGTGGCATCTGACTTGCTGCTTTTTGTTTTGCTGGTCTTTTTGCCTTGTGGATAGCTGATGTTTTTAGGTAGGATGGTTTTTATGTATAACACATGTATATTGTATATACTTTGTGATTAATGCATTTACCGTAATTGAAATGTGCTTCTGACTTGCGTTTATGAGTAGTGAGATGTGAAATGATGTTTTATTTATTTAGTCCTTGAATATTCATCCGCTTGACTTTGTGATTGCTTAATTATGGTCTGCTATTTATTTATCTATCTCATTTGCAATTTAGTATAACATAATTGATACATGTAGTCGACGCTAAAGTTTAGGCTGTGCTTTGGCCATCATAAATGCTCATATAGTCAATGTGTATTGGCTTTTCTGCAGATTCTTCCAAAGAAACATAACTACACATTTTCTAAATATATTATCCACATATTTGCTTTGCACTAATTTCATCGTAATTAACACAAAAAATTCAGCACCATTTCCATTCCAAAAGATTTACATAGTTCAATTTTTTCCAAATTCAATGGGAGACAAATGAAAGAGAAACGACAGTTAAGCTTATCAGCCTATGCCACTTCCTCAGGCCAACATAGAAATGAACTACCTAGGTGTCAGCCAGAAGTAATCAAACTAATTGTGGTAGTTTCAAATACAATCAAATTGAATAACACTGAGTAACAACAAAAGTTTTTGCCTAGACTTACATTTCATCTTCAAACTAGGTGCTCCACTTGTTTGCTGAGGAGATTTCAGTTCAGGATGGCACTCTAACAAAAAGGATAGGTAATAAGCTTTCAATTTCTTCCGTAAAAAACAAGCATCCAGAATTTCATCAGTCATTTATTTTATTTCATCTTAATGTCCCAGCAGCCATTTCCAGTTAAATGTGTCTTCTTCTGGCATCCGAAATGTCCACATGTGGGGCTTCTCATTCTCAAATGCTTCCAGAATTTCCTGCGACCAGAGATTCTGTTTTTGTTACTTGGAGGGCATAGCCAAAAAAGAAAGGTAGCCAAAGACATAACCAAAAGTCATAATTTGAGTCAGATATTTGTTAACGGTAAAATGGAACTAAAGCAGCTTGATATGAAGATAGATTTGTTAGAGTAGATGCCCTAGAGCCAATCAATTATTGTAGAATTGACTCTTTCTAATAATGTTCATTAATAAATAATAAAAGGCATTTTATCCTATATCGCGTAAATCATGATTATTGCAATATGTATTGATATATATTCTTAGAATGGTAGAACTGTGACGAGGGTATCAAGTGTTTCAAATCTTGATAATGAGAACCCTATAAGCACATATGGTGGCCATTTTAGAAACGTCCGTAGCCCCAGTATTATTCTGAAGTAAGGGCACAGATAATACGGTAAGGCTATCATAGTGTTGAACGACCCTGTCGAAAGGCTGTGACTGATCTCAATTGTCAAGGTTGTTTGGTGACAACCTGGTGCAACACATGGGTGCTTGTTGTAGGCGAATATACCGCAGCAAATTCACTAGACTGACCCATCAGAGGATTCCATATGGATGGTAACCCCAGTGTCTATGAAACAAATCCTCTAACGAATGGTGGTGCATGTGATCCTTAGACTTGAGATCACCAGAGCGCCTTGTGCACCGATTGGTACAGTTTGACACTAGCCTAACGCTGTTCTATTCAGAGCTGTCAATACGGTGGTGATTGGCTGCATCGAGGAGTGTATAAAGACTATGGTGGATTGACAGAGGATTCATCACTCCCAGGTATGGGAGAAGTTATCTCACGGCGCAATTCAGTATATGGCGATGACACTAAAACTGTGGCCACAATGGGATTGAGTTGTTGCTCTATCGAGATTATAATACGGGTCATTGGTCCAGAAACTGAATATATAATATCGAGAGTAACCAAAGATTGACACTATTTCTATGCCTTCGTCTCGTCGAGATAACGTATGATGAAAGGATCGAATTGTACGGTAACCATATCGTTGACAGGTAGCTACTTTGCTGAATCCGAATCTATCGGGTGGCCATGATGCCTTGCTAGGGGTCAATCTTGGTCTGTGTATAAGTGAGACAATTAATTGGTGTTAATCGCGATACTATACACTACCGGTATGATGAGGAGCCTATGGGTCACACACAGGTCGATAGCGAAATCTGTTCAGAGACAAACTTGGAGGAGCCTCCAAACGTGCGTATGATTTCTTAAACTTTAAATTGATTTTTCTGCAAATTCTATTATTTTG